ACAAACACTCAGTTAAGTTTCGAAACTGATATTCCTTGTTTAGTTTCACCAAGTTAAATATGTCTTTCTTGTGAACTGTGCACATCTTAGTGAGCAATAGCCCAGTGTGAAGGCCAAGGGATTCAAATCTTTTGAATTTGGTTCCTTTCAATCTAAAATCAATAGAAGTCATAGTATTTGATATCTGCATTTCTGAATGCATATGTATAATCATGAACTTAACACAAAGGCATAATATTCTCTATAAGGGTACCTAAATATATGGGAATAACTCCTATCATTTAACCTAAACCGTCAATGGGAGCAATAATGTTTGCTCAAATTCTCAATTGCATGGAAAAGAAGCTGCTTAAACTGTCTCTGAAGAGAAAAGGTTGGACATCCTAAATAATAGAACTTAAAAAATAAACAAATTTTCTGGGAAGTTGACACGCAGAGTGGTTTACCTGTTTCGACAATGAGAAGCTAGAGTACCCAAGCCTCTGATACTCGACCTTAAACTGGAAAACTCCATAAACATCTGGTACCTTGAATGAAGTGTAATAGAGTCCCTACAACAAACGCAAAAAGAACATGTAACCAATAACATGAAGATAGTAAAGATTTTTTTGCATCAGACTAACCACAATACCTTCTGGTTTGTGGACAAAGTTTTCAAGACATAGGGGCTCATCATGTAGAACTGCACTTGAACGTCTTTTGCGACATACGGGACCCAACTAGTACCAGACCATTCATAGATTTCCACAGAGAATTCCTAATATGATGTCATCAATCGTAAAAGGTTGACAAAAAAGGAAAGAATAAGAAAAAGGAAAGGAAAGAAAAAACTCATACAGAAAAATAGAAACCTCTCTTCGAAAAATTATGCATACCAAATACTAAATTTATATTATGTTTAATAACTATTTTGAAAAGGGGTGGTGTTAGCATTACCAGATCATCATTGATCCTGTACGTTGGAGGCTCTTCAGTTTCACCAACTTTATTGTGCTTCAGGTTGACTGCCTACAAAATTAGATATTATCTATATATTAAAACTTTTTTTGGAGAGTAGAGTTTAATTTGACCTCTTATGACGTAAGTGAAGAAATCACAAAGGCACATGAATAAGCAGAGCACCTTCAGATGACCTCTTTCATGGAATATCCATTTGCTAAGTTCAGCGACAAATTGTTCGTTACCAGATTTTTCATGTCTGTCAATAAATTAATATCAGTTAGTAGCTATCAGGAGTAAAATAAACTGGTTCTCTTTTACCAAATATATGGAAGTAATCTTTTTCAATAATACTTATAGAACTATTCCTAGTAAGAGAAAAACTTTAAAAGCTAACCTCCAAGCTATAATATAGATCAAGAAAATCATCAGAGAAGTCAGAAAACATTCTTCAACAGGATATTTTGTACCCAAGAACTCAAATAACAAATAAATATTAAAGAAAAAAATGAGATAAAGAACATGGATAAAACTTAAAAGCTTCACCAACTTTTTCACGCTCCCATTCTTCTGCACTCCTGCTCTGAACAACCTGTTGCATTAAAATTATCGTGCGCACATATCATAAGGAGTCTCTTTAGGTAGTGAGTAGTGCAGGACCAATTTCACAAATGAAATAACAAAAAAGAAATAGAAAAAAAAAATGTTTTAGCAACACTTAACCGGTTGCTAAACAAGTCCAATGATCCAGATATCATAACTCTTGCATTATTCCTAGCCTGCAATCATGATAAGGTGCCAAATCACAAAACACGAATTTTAGAAACAATGTCAGAAACATGAAGCGGTGTATTACTGTAAATGGACAGTATTAACCAAGATTATCGTAAATATTAAGTAGATATATCACGAATTTAGATATGGCTATTGTTCCAAATCTTCATAAAGCCTCCACGTGCAGAAACACATACTAGTAAGTTACCCTACCATCCTTTATCTATCCAATCACTAACCCAGACCATGATTTTCTATGGGCCTTATCCTAAGCGACAAGACAAAAGAAGTAGGTCTATATATCACTTTCAGGTGTTACACAAGTCATTTTTCATGTCTGAGAACACTTCATGAACTTGAATGAAAAATCACCGTTTTCTCGTTTCCAATCACGTTTTCACTCCGAATATATACTATTTTTGAATATTTTTATTTTGCCAAAATATTTTGACAACAGAAAACAAATAAAGTCGTAATCATTACGAAATCACAAGGAATTATGGAACTGGATGCAGTAAACTACCAAAAAGCTAAAATGTTGCAAGTCCACAATCTATATTTTAAATGACGGTTTAAAAGTAATGAAACTGCGGTTAAGTATATTTAGAACTCGGTGTAGCATAACAAATGGAAATAAACGCAAACCTGGAGAACCGAAACTAATGATATAGCTGTTCCAGTAAGAGGTGGAGGGTTTAACAATTCTGAGGTTGGATTAGCGGAATAAGCTGAAGAAGATGCAGAAAGAACCTTCAAAACCTGAAAAAAACATAGAACAGCTCAGGAAACAATCAATACAATACACATGTCTGTATGCTGAAACATATTCAAACTCGGTTACATAAAAAAACACAGCAGTAAGTAAATGGCAGACACAATAAGCTTGAACATTACCAAGCTATTTTCGGGATTCACTGAATGTCCAATCCCTTTAAAGAGGACAGGGGCCTGTTCCACAAACATAAAGAACATTAATATATGTAAGCCGGCTATTGAGACTGATGCTAATGAATCGTTCGCGGAAGGCACATAAGATGGAAACAGGGAAAAAGGATGATAATTTTGACATTGTGGCAGATTATCTGGGATAGAACATTGAGCAATAAGGAAGTACATAAATGTACGGGATGAAACAAAGATTATGATGACCCCCAGCAACTGCAAAAATTGATGTAGCAGTACACCTCTCATAAGCTGACCTCTATTTTACTGCTTCCAAGAATAACATCAGACTGAATAAAATTATCAGAAGCAATTAAGGTATGGTCTCCTGCAGTTTCTGAGACAGCATAACCAGTGTGATCAATAACCATAGCAGAGGGATCCTGCATGACCAATAATTAGTGTGAAAACAAATAAAATGAACACAACTACTGGATAATTAACAAATAAAAATGAACACGAGTACTGGTTAAATAGTTAATACTGTTAAGAAAAAGAAAAAAAAAAAGAAAGAGAAAATGAAATAGAAGTAGAAAAACAGAATGGAGACCACCTACAACAGTGGTCCATTAGCCGCAGCATATATAAAACTGGAAACTGATGCACGTCACAAAAGTTTGTGACTACATAAAAGAATTAAATGCTTCTGGATAGGAGCCATCATAAGAATATACGCAAGAACGAAACAGGATATATACGAGTTACGGAATTGTTTTGGATACTAAAACATTGAAGTGAGCTGATGCGTTTGTATCAAAAAATATGCAGCAGCAGTACCATCTGACTCTTCATTATGTAGTCATTACAGTTACAATAGCACAACTGCATAAATTATACATCTATAGTGTTTAAAATACATCTATAGTATTTAAATGGAATGATATGCATATCATGTTTTACAACAGATTAACGACCATTTATAGTTGAAAAACAAGGCCAGAAAAATTCTTGAACGTTTGTAGTTTTTTTAGTAACAATCTGGTAAAATGAAAATGGACGATTGTACTACATAATTGCAAAATTGATAACACATAAAACTTGCTACATTGTCAGCCTCAAAATCCATATCATTATGATTCAACATTCATAAGCCTCCAATTCTTAATTACATATAGCTGACAAATTATCACCAATTAGTCTATCAGAGTCACCAAAAACACAATGGACGATTGTACTACATAATTGCAAATTGAAAGAAATAAATCACCTACCTCATCAAAATCTATACCGCATTCAGCAGCGATGTTCCTAATTAAATCAGAGGCATTCGAATCGGCGGACAAAATCAAATCACGGCCGGAATCAACAAAATCTAAAATCCCGTTCACGTCCAACGACCCTCCAAACCCTACACAAACTCTTCATGCATCAGAGCTGGATATAAAAACAAGAGAGAGAGAGAGAGAGATGCAAAAATGAAACGATTTTTAAAACAAATAAGCAAGAAGACAATCCAATTTGAGGCCGGACGCTCTAAACAACGCCCAAATGCACAAAAAAAGACAATCCTAACTTACGGTCAGCTGTAGGAGAGAAGAGAATGATGCCGTCGTACAAGTACTGGCCGTACCGCTTGACGGTGATGGAAGGATCGACAGAGAGCTTGAAATCGAGATTGAATCCGCGGGATTGGAGGGCTGCAAAGAAGAGGGAATGCGATGATTTGAGGGATAGATTGTCGAGCAGAACTAGGATCTGGCGATCGGTGGGGTGATCGGGAGAGAAAGATACTGTTCGGAATGGGAGAATCGAGATCAGATTTAGCAAGATGATGGAAAGAATTGCGAGGGATTTGAGTTCCGCCATTGTTCGAGTTTTGTTGATGGTCTGAGAGTAAAACAGCGACACTGTTATAGTGAAGCGCGCATTGACGAAGAAGTTGACTTAGATGTCCGACGGGAGGCGAGGGGCCAATGGGAGAAAAATCGCTAAATTTCGGGGTGATCTTGATGATAAGCCATAAGTTTGGGAGTCAAGTGTTTAACTTGGGTTCCAAAGGGGGTAAAGAAAGAAAACTAATTTGCACGAAGGTGGTCGTGGGTAGATTAGTAAAAGTACATATGCACGGCATTATTATTATTATTATCATTATTATTATTATTATTATTATTATTATTATTATTATTTTAACCAAAATTTATATTTTTTAGATAAAAGCAATTTATTTATTTCAGTTTTGTTGAATGTTTAAAATGTTCGACACTTTTTTCTTATAATTTCAACAAATGCCTATTTCTAACTAAGTATTGGATACATTTATTTCTAAATATTCATTTGTTAAAGCTAGGGGTGAGCATGGTTCGGTATGGTTCGAAGATTGAGAAATCTCCAGAACCGTACCAAAATTCGAAGATCACTAAATTCGGTCTCCAGAACCGTACCAAAAAATTAGGACGGTACGGTTCGGTTCGGTTCGAAGATTTTTATTATTCGGTTCGGTATTCAAGACTATCGGAACGGTTCCGTCTGGATTTTCGTAGATTTATTATTTTTTATTAATTTTTTTTGAATGACTATCTAGTTATGTTTTAATTTTTATATGTTTAAAAAAAAACAATATTCATCAATATTTCATCATATTGAAGATTATATTCTTAAATCAACTTTAGAAGTAATTCTAAATTTTAGTTATTTAATTTTTATATGCTTTAAAAAAGCAATATTTATCAATACTTCCTCATATTAAATATTTATTTTGAAATCAACTTTAGAAGTAGCTATAAATTTTAGTTAATACTAAATTTGTGCAACTAATATTTAAAATTTAAAATTCAAACAAAATATATTATAGTTTTTTTTTTTTTAAATATTCTTTTACCTTTCATAACGTTTTAAATATTTTGTTTTATAACAGAAAAAATTTAATTATATAAAATCAAAATTATTAAGTGAAGCTTAATTGTTATTGCTATATTTTATTTGCATTTCAAAAAATCTCAAATTATATAAAATCAAAATTTACATAAAATATATTAATAACACACATCTAATATTATAATTCGATTCTTCGGTTTGGTACGGTATGGGACGGTTCGGTCCGGTTCGGTTCGGACCGGAAAAAAGTCAAAATCAACGGTTATTTTTCGATTCGGAGCGATTTTGGTTCGATTTTAAGAACGGTTCGGAATTCTCCGAGTCTCATACTCAGCCCTAGTTAGAGCAACTCCAGTGCGCATGAGTTCTGTAAAACGCCACAAATCCTGCGTAAATCTGTTCAACGCTAGCCAAATTTCTTTCGCTACTTTGATGCTTTGCGCAGTGCAATGATAGATGTGGCGTTGTAAGGGCGTGCTTAGAACATATATGTTTTAAACGAGTTTTTGTTTTTGTTAACCATGATTAAATTTGAAAAAGATAGTATGGCTTGTTGTTAGTGGGATTTTGGATTAATATTAAAATATTATTTAAAATAAATAATTAGAGTTGATTTGATGTAAAAGTAGAATAGAGATGATGTGAAGTGCTTGTTAGTTAAAATTATGTGAATGGATGAATAGTGAATTAAAGTTGATGTAATATGTAAGGCTGATTGATTGATATTATTAATTATATTGATAATATTAAGGATAGTGATGTTGGGTTAAAATTAAATCAGATTTTGAGTATGAATTGAGTTATTTTATATACAATCACACCCTAAATGTTCGCTTCATTTTTTTTCCTATGATATATATGGCAGATATTTGGTAGTATTTTTCATTATTTTCCATGGATTTCATTAATTTTTTTTTCTTAAACTTTTTATTGCAATTCTTAAACTATAAAAATTTATTTTTTTTATATAGGATAAATTCTATGTATTTTCCAAATTTACTTTTTTTAACACATTTTACTCCTTCTCTGCAACTGGCTTTTCAACATTTTGTGTTGTTTTTGTACTTTTATATATTTAATATAATAATTTTTTAAATAAATTAAATTTCTAAAAATAATATATTTAATAAAACTTAAATACATTTAATAAAACTACCATGTAATGAAATATAATACACATCATCACTAAAAAAGTTTATTTGTCAGAACACCAACTGTAATATATTAATATGTGATAAATTTGTTGGACAAACATGAATAAAATAAAGAATTTATTTTTATACGGTTTAAATTATATATAAAAAAAATTTTCAGTCTAAGTTAATATTTTAATAAATACTCGATACATGTTTAGTAAATTAAATCATCATTTATATATATATCATTGTATTTATATATTTTTAATGATTGATAATGAAACTTTAACTAATTAAAAATGTGTAAAACAATATATCTAATTAATTTATATTATGAGATTAAAAAAATTTAAAATAATGAGTTTAAAATAATGAGGTTAAAATAAGAATATTTCATGTGGAGTAAAATATTAATGAACTGTTGGATACGAAAGTTGATTTTTATTCCACTCTATTCTGAAGTAGAGTAAACTCTACATTAAAATAGAAATAAGTCCTTCAAAATTAGAGTTTTTTATCTCTCTTGGAGATTCGCAGTTCCTTCGTTAGGATCTAGGTTCCGCTCGCTTTTCTCTGTGTGCTAGGGTTTCATCCTAGGTGGTTGTGGTAGGATCAAGGGCCCTGAGTCGTGTTCTCTTTGCCTCTCTGTTTTTGTTTTTCTTTTGTGCTTTTCGTACTTGTTCATCTTGTTTAAGTTTTGTCTGTTGGTTTTGCCTCTCACTTTGTGTTTGCAGGTTCGAGGTTGCCTGGTTGGGGTTCTTCGTATGGAGGAAGAAGTGGTAAATTAGTTTCAAAGATTTTCCCTCTCAGATCGTGAAGTTCAAGGAGTTACCCTTTCTGAGGAAGATGTAACATCTGGAGTTCAAGAGTGCCAATTGAGCCTGTTAAGTAAGTTGTATGGAGATAAGAAAATCAAATTCGGTAGATTTAAAGCAATGACATGAGGAATCTGGATAACCCGCCTACCGTTTTCGATTAGAAACCTGGGTGACAATGCCTTTCAGTTTATCTTCCAACGTGAGGAAGATAAATACAAGATACTGCAGGGGAAAATGTGGAATTTTGATGGGCGATATCTTCTCCTGAAATTGTGGGACCCAAAGAGGGCAGAGTTCGCTGATGAGGACGAAAAGATCAAGCTATGGGTTTAGATCACTAACTTATCTCTTCATTGGATATCAGCTGAGACTGGGTTGAAGTGTAGTGCTCCGTTTGATTTTTTTCTACGAGTGGGTTTGTTGACTTTATGCCTGTGTGAAATTGTTTTGCTTTGTGCATTATTTTGCTTGTTCGATTAGTTCGGCTAAACTGGTGATTTCAGTGGGTTTAATTAGATATCCTCATCTAATGAATCATTTGACTAGAATAATTTTTGTAGACGAGAATTCATTCAAGCCATGATCGTTTACATCGTTGCGTGAGCTTTTATTTTTTTAGTTGAGCCTTATGCCGTTTGGACATTTAATTTCTCGGCCACTTTGACCTTAAGTACTCGGTCTTGAAGTCCAATTTTTTCGGCCCAAACTATTGTGAAACTCAGCCCTTTTGGTTGTAGAAAACCGGCCCTTTGGCCATGAGCTTTGGCTCCAATTTTTTTTTCCTTCAAAACTCAAACTCAAGGGTGCTATTTTTGGAATGGATTCCTTCAGCCCTTAGAGCATCTCCAATGCTTTAATGTTGTAGTAGAATAAATTTTGACAAATGTCAATAAATTAAATGGATTGTGTACCATGTAATAAAAATGTTAAGTCTACAACTATGAAATCAAAATATTCTCTCCAATGCACAATATAGTCTAAATACAATATTATATACTTATCATATATTAAAAATTTTAAAATAAAATATAAAATTAACTAAATAATTAGATAACTTATAATTGGTAAGAATATTTCTCTCTCTTTTTTCATTGGTTAACTAGAATGTGAAAGAATCACATTCTCTTCTACATTGTAAACATTAATTAAATCCACATCGTCACAACATTTGTGATCACATTCTACATTGAAGATGAAAAAATGGTGAATTTATTAAATGTGTTGATGTGGAATGTAATTTACCACAACATTTGATCATTGAAGATGCTCTTAAGAGCTTTTTTACCGGCCATTTAGTGCCTTTTTAGTGCCAATTAAATCACCCAAGTACGGAATGATTTATCATTATTGATACACTTTGATTGCCTTGAGAAAAAATCAATCATCCCCCCTTATTCACTTTCTACCCCACATCCTTAGCATGGTTCTTTTCTCTCCAGCAAAAACAGACCGGAAACTCATCTCCATATCCCAAGTTTCTCTAGCAAATACTCTCAAAGTTCCTCTCTGAAAAATCGGCCTTAGCCCCAGCCGCCGCGAGCCCAGGAGCCCATCAAGTTATAAGATAGTCAATTTTAGTTTATAACGTAATAATTTATAAGTTATAACATAATGAGAAAGGATCATATGAGAATGACTCTTAATGCGAGAAATGAGAATAAGTCTGGATCATTGGATCCAACATATCAAAGGTCTTGATCAAGTCAAATATTAAATATGACAGTCAAACTGGGATGGCAGATTCGTAAATAAATTTTCATTTCATGGTAAAAAATACACATCAGCCACTAACTAAGGACATCAAGGTAATTACTCATTCATAATAAATCCCAAGTGGGCCCCACCACTACCACCAACAAACATCTCTTTTCTCTCACATCTTCCTCTCACCCCCACAGACGGGCACACACACACACACACACACGACAGACGGCGGCACCCCAGTCCACAACCACCACCCGTCGCCTCCGACCTCACCCTGCGCCGCCCACGTCGTCGTCCGATCCCGCCACCTGTCGCCGGTCGCCGTCCTTACCCCACCCGCCGTCGTTGCCTTCCGTCAACCACCTGTCGTCCGCCACAAAATCCTCTGCCGCCGAGCAAGAGATGCTCTCGAAGACGACGAAGACGTGGCCACCGATGAACACTTGTTGCAGCGGCGTGCGGCCGCTGGCGTTGTGGTCGCCGGCGAGCTCGGCCATCCGGGCGATGAGGTGGTTGTTGAAATTGAGGTGGTCGATGATGGTGGCGTTGTGACGGCGACCGACGAATGTCCCCCGGTGGCCGCTGGATGAGGCGCTCGACGGGAGGTGAACGGGCATGAAAATCAAAAGAATTTTCAATTTTATGGAGAGGGGCTTATTTTTGTGAATTTGATAAGTTTTAGGGGTTTAAGTGAAAATAAAATGATATTACAACTGTTAATTAAATGACACAAATGACCAACCACAGTGAATTGACCGACAGAGAGCAGGTTGATGAATTTATGTGGGATCATCATTGATTATTTATTATTAAAATAAACAAAATTAATTGCGCACTAATATTTCAGTCTTGGGTTGCAAATCCTAATAATAGATGTTGACTAATGAACATCATTCTTACTAAATTACTTTAGATACTCCATTTCCTTGTACCAACATAACTTGGTATTATAGGCTTATACTCTATTTCATTCCCTGTTGATAATTTTTGAAGTTACTAGTTTAATTTATCGGTTAACATAACTAACCATCGACATAAATTATATTATTTAATATAAAAAAACATATTATTAATTGATATTTGAGTTGATTTTTATATTATTTTTTTATTAAAGAAATTAGTATACATGTAAACAAAATATACTGTGCAATCTAATAGTCTTAAGGTGCAATTTGTCCAACACTATGGTGCACGATGTCGGTCTGTATTGTGCAAATTGAACCAACCGAACTTTTGTCCCAAATCAAATTGAAATTGAACATAATTTATTGGTTTATTCGATTCGAATAACTGAATTATTTTAAATAATTGAAATAATTTGTTGTTTATATTATAATTATATTTAATATGTTATTAATTCTATTTATTATTTTTTATATTATTTTTTTGTTGAATAAAATTGAGTTCGTCGGTTTCGATCTCTAATTTGCAGTCTGATAATCATTATAAAGTGCAATGTATTGTTTTGTAAAGTGAAATATGTTGTTTTATAAAGTGCAACGTGATAGTGTATAAGTCGAACTATAAAGTGCAACGTATTGTTTTGTAAAGTACAATGTGTTGTTTTGTTAAGTGCAACGTGATAGTGTATAAGTCGAACCAATGTAAATAACCAAACCGACAGAATTAAACTTTACGGTTCGAAATTTTATATATCAATTTGATTAGAATAGATATAATATGATAATTATTCCTACCATTCTATTGCCAAAACAATTATTCCGACATATTGCGCAAAATATAATATTAATAATTAAATATGACATTTTTTAACAGTAATTGATCATGTTATATTAAATTAATAGTAATTTAATTACTAAAAATAAATTATCATGTCAAAATGCTCAAACATCATTCTTGTCTAGTTGTCATCCGGTTGGATTAATTTGATTAATAAAAATCAATTATCATATCAAAATGCCCAAATTCCACCATGGTGAATAATTTGTTCTCACTGAAAAGAGTAAAAATTAAAAATTTGCAATTGAGTCCCTTGAATATATCAAATTCCCATATATGTGCCCTAATTTTTGGATCAAAATTTTGAAGGAAAATTTGAACATCCCTCCCAGCCGCCGGTTGCCTTCCCAATCCGGTAGTCTTGATAAAGTGCAATGTGTTGTGTTGTAAAGTGCAACATGGTGTTTTATAAGGTGCAACGTGTGGACGTATAAAGTGAAATTATGTAATTTATTATTTTAATAAATTATTTTTATTATATATTTATGAATGGAATTACACTCAATAAATGACATACTTTTATTATTTCTTATTTAATACAAAAGTTGTTATGCAGATATCATTATTGAAACAAACGCCTAATGTGCATCTCAATTTTATTTTATTTTTAATAATATGTATTTATTTAAAATTACAGTATATTTATCAAGTTATTTATGTAATTAAAAATATATTTAGTATTTGTAATTTTTGTATTTAATATTTTATTCTATTAATTTAATTAACATGTACATTTGTTATGCTAAGGTGCGATCTCACTAACACAAAAGTGCAACCCGTCAGTTAATAATGTGCAATATGTCCAATAACATTTTAATATTTTATATTATGTTTATTTAATATTTTACATTAATTTTAGAAATAATATAATATATGTGTTAGTCAAATTGCGTGCAATTTTTATGATTTTGCTCCAAAATATAATAAATACCTTGTGAAATTGTGTAATGCAACTGTTCTCAGACCAATTGAAGTAGCCTAAGCACGTGTATTAGTGTATAGGAGTAGGAATTGCTTTTTCTCTAATTTATTAAAGTTCACAAAATTTCAATTAAGCCCTTATACATCATTGAATTTTCAAAAATAAGCCCACAACCAAAACACATTTCAGGCTCACTCACGCAATTCAGCCGCCGTCTATGCCGCCTTGAACCGCTCGGCTGGACATGATGTGCCGCTGCTCGCCGACGGCGGATCGAACCTGCTCCTCGATCGATTTGCTGAAATTGGTTCGGAACCTTTGAGACGGCCCTGTTCAATTAGTACTTTAACGCCGTCGTGGTCGTCGTCGGAGACCGGAGAGAAGGAGAGCGTGCCGGAGACGACTCGCCGGCAGAAGGAAATCGGATAAGTGGTGCGCCGGTGTGTAGTGTCTGACGGAGGGGACGATTGGTGGTCGTGGTCTGTGCGCCGCTGCGCGTGTGTGTGTGTGTTAAAAAAGAAAAAGAAATTTCCGCCGCACCCAACTGCTGTTAAAAAGAAAAAAAGAAAAAAAGAAAAAAAATCAGCCCTTAATGGCCGCTTGTTATGGTATGTCGACTTTCCGGTGTTGGCGCCTGCAGCACCTTAAACGGCGAGGCGGAATAAGGGTGACGGGTACGACGGTGGCCGGTTGCCGGGTGGACGAGGATGTCGGAGACGTCGAGTTTGACGGCGGCAATTCGAAGCTTCACCGGAGTGGCAGCGCGGCTGAAGAGTCGGACGGGCGGCGACGCTATAGCTGTCGATTAGGCCTAGTGCCGGCGGTGGTCGAGATATGGCGCCGGTGTTGAGTCCGGCGAATTCTGTGTGTGTGCGTATCAAAACACTGTGTGTATGTGTGTATCTATGTCTGTGCGAGAGAGATGTGTGTGAGAGAGGGAGATGTGTGTGAGAGACTTGTGAGATAGAGTTTATGAGAGAGAAACGTATGGGTTTTAATGAGGGGAGAGAAACGTGTGAGAGTAATGGAGAGAGAAACATGAGGTGTCTGGTGGGCCCACTAATCAGTTGGTGTTGTGGCCTGTGGGGAAATTTCTACATTACCCTTAATGAATGCACAGTTGTGATTTTTTCTCAGTCATTAGATCATCAGATCTAATGGCCCATATATATTCTTATTTCTCGCATTAAGCACCATTCTCATGTGAGCGCGACCCATAACATAATAATAACAAATTCTAATTTATAGGATAACCAATTCTAATTTATAACATAATAATTTTCACTAACATAATTTTTTTTCCTAAATAAAATTAACTAATTCAAAAGAAATAAAAAATTGACCGGCCAACCGACGAAACCGGCCAGACCGCTGCCGGCCAACCGGCGATTGCCGGCTAGGTAGGCCATGGCCATTGGCGGCCGCAGGTAAATTCTAATTTATAAGATAATCAATTCTAATTTATAACATAATAATTTCTACAAACACAATTTTTTTCATAAATAAAAACTAATTCAAAAAAAAAATAGCCGGTCGGCCTGCGAAACCGTTCGGACAACCGCCGGCCAACGGCGATTGCGGTCGCGCTCGGCCTACCTAGCCAGCCAGCCGGCCGCGATCGAGCGCGACCGCAATCGCCGGTTGGCAGGCGGCGGTTTGGCCAGTTTCGTTGACCGGTCGGCCGAAAAACGCACCTCGTCGTAGGACATTTTCTCATCGAAAATCGCTTAGTTTCAGAAAATTTAAGATTTTCTGAGTTTTTTAGAAAATAATGATAGGGGCAAAATGGTTCAGGGGGAGCGTTACGTAGTAATAGGGGGGCGGTGAATAGTACACCCTTAAAATTATGTAAGAGAATGAATAGTAAATTGTGATATGTAAGAATAATTTATTGATATTATTTAATTATATTAATAAAATTGAGTATTATGGGGTTGAGTTAAAATTGAATTAAATTTTAAATATGAATTAAATATGAATATCTATACTTATATTAACAGGAATCCTATTTACCAAATTTAGTAGCTAGAAAAGTCAACAGCATTTATTGTCATTACTATTTCCATATTATACAGCTTTATATAATATTTGTTTTTCTGTTACGATTTTTAAAAACAGATATGGTCAAATTCTCTCATCATTAATTACTTTTCATTAATTACAATTTATTTATTTATTATTTTCTTAGCAAAAACGGTCCAACATTAATTGATTTCCTTAAAATGTGGAAGTTGTTGCTTTATTTTTGTACAGAAAATCGAGAAATTTGTTCAATTACACAATGAATTTGCTATGATATAATTATTTTTTATGGAAACTTTTTTTTTAACAGAAAAATATGGCATTTCAATAAGATTTTCGATTTTTTAAGACTGATTGTTATCATGCTATGAAATTGAACATTCCAATATACCATAACAAAATATACACGTGGTGTATACATCAGTTAATAGAAATATAAAATCCTCATATTTTTATATATATGTATGTAATTTTTCTATTACCAAATTTAATTGATAGTTGTTGTGTTATGGGTTTTTTCATAATTGTTACTTGGTTGTTGTGATATTTAGTTTGGTTGGTGTCGCAAAAATTCTAATCTATATATATAATAAGAATAATCATTACAATGCAAATTAGAAAAATATTGATATTAGAAGAGATTGAGTTCATGGCTTTTCTTAAATCAAAGTTGTTTAATTAGTATACAACATTAAATTCTAAAAAAAATATATGTGCATATTTTGTACATTATTTATACACTATTTAATTTTAAATTTATTTACATATTTTAAATTGATTACTTATATAAATAATATCAACGTGCATTAAATATATTTCATTACATAAAATAAAAAGAACAAGAAGACGTGCAACTTGTATAACTTTATAAATAATAATGACATAATATGGCAACAGAGTTTAATAATTAACTATTATATAGTGAATAAGAATAAGTAAAATTGTTATTTTCTCTTATATCAAGGAATAAATATATTTAATAAAATTAAATTTATATAATATAAATGTGTTAGTGAGATAATATATTAATTATTTTACAAGTTAGCCCTAACATGCTCACGTTTAATGTTCTGACTAATAAAACAACGCTGATTAAAAGATGTGAAAAATAGATTACAACCCTATTTTTTTAGACTTAACGGTGAAAATAGATGATAACTCTTTTTAGACTTAAATGAGACTTAACGGTGATTAAAATATGTGGAAAATGGATAATAACCCTTCTCAGACTTAAACGGACAGAGCCTGTGAAAATAATTCATTTAATGTCTCTCTCCCGTGCATTGCACGGGGTACGTACTAGTAATCTATACATATATAATAAGAATTACCATTTAACAAAATAGTAGCAAAAAAATAGGAGAGAATTTAATGCAATCTATAAATAGTAAGTTTTATTATTTTTTATTTTTATCTTTGAAAAATCATACAACATTTAACATTTCATTAAATTTTTGGCTTTAATTCATTTTATTATTTAAAAATTCTAGCTAAGATCTATTAAGTGTGCATTTTTCATTTTTATTTTATTTTTTCATAGAAAACAACGAAGAACATTAATATCTCAGTCTCTATATTTACAAAATCTCAATTGAAAGGTAGTTAAAATTTTAGAATATCGGTCTTTATATTTATGCCTTGCAAAAAAAAAAATATTGAATGCTATTCGTTAAATATCATTTTCCACTAATCATCACAATTTTTTTTATTTGGAACGTGCGATAATAAACTTGGTAATGTTTATCACTTATTTGTTTACCAATCTATTGTTTTTTCTATACTCAGTTTCAAATAATTATCAAATTATCAGTCTCAATAATTGGGCATTTAAAAAAAATATATTTAATGATAATATATCATTTGTTAATAGTACACAATTTTGAAAACTCCATTATAAATTGTATGTTGATATCCAATCATTTTATAAATGCAATCGACTTTGTTAAATCTCCATGAAAATATGGTAAAACAAACGATCAACTTTGTATAGAAAAAAAATAAAATCAATAAATCAATATGAAGTTCACAGGAAATTAACATAATGAATAATTTGTATAGTACACGGATCTGAAAAATAATACTCACGTGGATTCTAAAATTCAAACTTCTACTTATCATCATGTTCTGGAAATTGAATAACATATTTTCGGCAAGATTTTTTTAAATAATTTTAGACATGTTTTATTTATAAAATAGTTTAGAAAGATTTTAGGTGACTTCACATCTTCAATAATGATATATAAAATTTTAAATACTTTACATACGTTATATAATATTTTAGGTGTTTTTAATATTTTAACATACATTTTTTATGTTATTTTATACAAGATAAATTTATATTGTTTACAACTGATATACGATAAATTATATCACATATTAACTCTACATCTTAATTACAATTATTGGTTAATATCTCCACATCTTAATTACAATTATTAGTTAATATTGTTTATCCTCATATTTAATTTATAATTATTAATTAATATTATTTACTGTCATCGTTAATTCGTAATTATTATTTAATATTATTTACCCGTGCATCGCACGGGCTACATACTAGTTTTTTTATAAACAAACACACTGTATTTAATGCTGCAAGAAACCCAGCCATGCTTTATTAATGCAGTGCTATTAACTCCTCAGTCCAAGTCGTTTATTCATATTTCAAGGAGTCCACAAGTTCAAGATTGTGTGAGTTAGTTTGATATTTAGATGAGTCCACCGGTTCAAGATTGTGTTTGTTGTTAGTTCATGCTTGTATACAATTTTTTAAAAAAAAAAAAATCAATTATTTTTAATGTTAAATGATCACTTTTTTTAACTCAATTTTAATTCAATCTCACTACTTTTACTATTATTAATATAATTAATTAATATCATTGTTACACATTAGATCAACCTTAATTCAATTTCCATTCACTCACACAATTTTAACTAATCATCACATCATGTCATATTTCTCATACTTTCACATCAATCCAACTTTAATTATTTTATTTTAAATATTACTTTAATATAAACTCAAAATCCCACTAACAATTAATCTTATATTTTTTTTTTTCAAAATGAACCACACCAAACAAAAAAATCCAATACAAAATCAAAACATCTTATATCCAAGCACCTTTTTCAACTAAAACTTGATGATTGGTCAAAAGAAAAGCTAATTTTGAAAAAGCTTCAAACCTTCTGAAACTAGTGTTGTGCTCAAACCGAACGAACCGAGCTTGGATTGTTCGAGTTCTTGTTCATTTACGTTCAAACATTTTCGTATTTGTTCGTTTATTTTTTGAGCAGAAAATCGTGTTCGAGCTCCTTCGTATAATTATTCATCAAAATTCAAGTTCGTTCGTGCTCGAATAATTAACACATAAACTTTTTAAATAGATTTAATTAACTCGAAGTTTGTTCATTCGAACTCGAAAAAATATATATTTTTATATTTTAGATTTTTTATTAAAAATATTATGTAAATATAGAAAAATAAAATAAAATAAAATAATATTAAAGTAATGTTCACGAACATTATCAAACGAGCTCATGTTCGTTCAATAAAACGAGCCTAATTTTCTGTTCGAACTCGGCTCGATTAACAACCGAACGAACTTTTGTTCACAAACGCTCGGTTCGTTAACAGTCCTATCCGGAACAAACCTGAGCATAAAAACTAAAAGGAATTATTCAGTTCAATTGCCTTTTTTGCATATAACCAAACAAAGCTACAGAGAAAGCACAGACTTGGATGACATTCTTATGAACTTGTCTCACAGATACACTACCGATTGTGCTTTAGAAACATTTAGAAATTGAAGGTCTATGGAGGTGCAAGCCTGCTCAAGCTGTGGCTCACGCGCATACAATACATGAACTCATAAGATATTGTAAATTTAGCCAAACTACCCCCAAATCAACAATTCTTATTGTGGTGACATCTTGTGGAACATCTAATTTGTGACAAATACAATGTAGAAACCAAAAAATTAAATAGATATTGTCACGCATAAAATTGCTAATTAAATATATATTCACGAGACATATAGTTAGTTCAAAACGCAAAGCTAACAAGAAACATATGAGACTACAACGGTTAGGTCATCGAGTTTACCACCATAGAAAGCAAATCCGGCTTGTTCAGCTGCAACAGAAAACGGGCTCCGACATTTCCTGTCCAGAGCCCGTATACGTGAAAACTCAGCAATCTTTCGGGCTGTGGCATTAGGACAAAAACCTTCTTTGACAGCATCAGCCACAATAGTCGCTATCTCTTTATTATACAAATTGTCGAACAAGCCATCACTACCTGCAACGACCACATCTCCAGGTACAACTGGAACTTTAAAAACCTGAAAAATAACTATAACATATGAGTTTTAAGCATATGACAAAAGTATCGACAATTATGCACTAGTTAAAGGTGTAATTACTAAAAGAATGTCCCTATTTGAGGGTGTAACTTAAGATAAAACAAAAATAAAGAAAAAAAAAAACAAAAACAAATGGGTTTTTTGTCTTTTGTAACTGGAGATTACCTGTCCAGAACTTGGCAGATCACCTGATGTCCCTCGTTCGAGTTGATAAGGGCAATTGAAACCATGCTGTTGTACAGGCGATTCGAATACTGTGCGCCCATTCCTGATCACAATAAACCCACTATCTCCAATGTTGATGGCATGAAGATTCTGTTCAAAATTTAGGACATTATGGTAACAGCAATTACCAAAAGAATAGAAATCAAAGAAGCTAGTGACAACATTCAGACAGGCCGAATTTACAAATCGATCAGAAATCGAAAAATCCATTGCCTAGATCAACAGATTTTATTCCTAAATCAGTCTTTCTATTCTTAACAACATTCCACGGAGATTAAAAAAAGAAAAAAAAAAACAGTCAAAAATATTTTCGTGTCATAATAAAAAAATCAGAACATGTCAAATAACAACAGGAAAAAGGTAACGATTTTTCACAACCTAATCATATTTCTCCACATTTCATATAATTATAATAGATAAGTCGCAGCATATAGATTGGTTCATAACAAGCTCACTTATATTAACAAAAAACAAATAGAATTAACCATAGTTCGTTAGTCAGCCATCTTGTTATAATTATGCAACTCCAAACACAAACCTGGCTTTTCAGGGCAACAATGCAAGCAGTCGAAGAACCCATCATACTAGTTGCCGCATGGGCCTTTTCCAACACAAACAAGGGGTCAACATCGCCACCTGGCGCTTTTCTAATGGCTTCTACAGAATTAGACATGAGCTGGCGGGCATAATCCCCCGAGTTAACACCTACATCTGCCCAACCACCCACCCCATCTGCAACACCGATTACTTGCTCATCAACACATATAAAATGAGCATCTTCTCCACCTGTTTTTTCTTTATCTGGATGGGGCATGTAACATGCTCCAGACAAAAGCTTCACAGTGCTATGATCCGGACTCCTCCTAGAAGAAAGAAAATTAAAATTACATAATAAAAAAAAAATGGAGCTTCATTGGTATCAAAAGTAGAATTAGATAGTAATTATAGACAATACAATAAACAAGTTCTGTAGTAGAAAATAGCGTGTTCTACATAGTGCAACTTTTGGGTGAACTTCAATTGCTATAACCATTAGAGTTTTACAAAAAGGTCTGTGAATCTTTTACCGACGCTTCATGTTTGGGCCACAAATGGTGATCAAATTAGTAAAAAATAAATCACCTTAACAAGATTATGTTACTCAATTTTGGAAACATACAAATAGGTCAATATCAGACTTATTTACAGTCTTACAAATTACAGCAAACTATGGAAATTAAATGACTAGGAATAAATAGAGTGCTGAAGTAGAGTTTTAAGCACAATTCCTAATGCACGGTCATGCCAACGAGACAGAACAAACAAAATTACAATGAACATACTTGATGTCCAAACTAAAATGCATTAGATAATTTTGAAACCAGGAACTAGAAAAATGACTTACTCCTCAACCGAAAGTGCAAGACCTGACAGCTGCTCTGCACTTAAAGATCCATCACTTGAACCTTCTGGCATAATCCCATCAGAGTAACATGAAGACGAGAAAGTTCTGCTACTACCCATCCTTTTAGAAAACAGAGAGCCAGAGATGGAACATCTGGCTTCAAAATCAAACACAAGAAGTCCAACTGAACAATTTCGTTTTTCATTCTCTACACTTCTCAAGCTCACTTTAGCTTTCCCACACATCTTCAAACCTCTATCATCAAACCAAACAACACCAGGCTTCACAAATCCTGATAAATTACCACCACCGGATGCAACTACTGAACCAGGAGTAGCCATAATACTTTTATTTTTTAATTTGCTCGAATATCTCAACGATTGACTGCTGAATCCAGGTATAAAACCACTAAAACTGTTTCTGGATGAAAGGGATTGTATCAAATGGAGGGTTTGAGATTGTTCAACTCTCAGAGCCTTTCGAAAGCAGAGACCAGATACAATATTGAGATTTAGAAACAACCCAGATGGCATTTTATCAACCGAAAAAATAAGCTAACCCAATCTAGAGATTTCAATTGGAAATCCAGTACAAGAAAAACTTATCCATCTACCCTTCAGCAAAGCAATGAAACTCGGAGACCTGAAACAACGCCCAAAAATTGTCGGTTACTCACATCCTGCTTAACTACACCCAGCTATACTAGTTGCACATTTACTAGCAATTAAACAAAAAAAAAGGAAAAAGCAGCCAAAGGGCAAAAAGGAATGAAATACCAATATATGAGCTTCTTAAATATGAGCAAAAAAAATTATAACAAGAAGTTGACACCTTAAACAGCTGCTTGAGAGAGGTAGGTGAGCTTCAGGCCCTTCCTGCGATTAAGACTGCGCCTAAATTTCCATTGAAGAGTTGAGATTTTTATATACGGACAAATTGCAGGAAAAGAAATACAATTTTGATTAAATTGAGTAATATGCCGCCCAAATCTCACCAGACGGAAAACAAGAAAAGACCCCGCGTGTTGGTGGGCTTAAAAACCCTATTGGGTTAGGCTCACAAAACTTAAATTTGGTTTGATTTGCTGAGCTATATTTTACAACCAAACTGCGCACACAGTTTATTTTGATATATAAAGAGATTAGAAGAAAAAATTAGAGAAATTTAGGGTATGTTTGTAAAAGAAATTACTCAATCCAAATTAATTCATACTCAAAATATAACTCAACCCCACTATCCTCAATATTATTAATATAATTAAATAATAATAACTAATCATTAAATAATAACAATCAATCAATCAACTTTAATTCACTATTCATTCGCTCACATGATTTTAACTAACCATCATTTCATATAAGGGTTTAATGCACCAAACCCCCTGTATTATACTAAATTTGCGCGTATCCCCACTCTAATTGAAAAATTGCGTCATACCCTCTTTTGTTAAGGGTTCAGGTGCGTCATACCCTCTTTTGTTAAGGGTTCAGGTGCACACGCTCCTTTGTCTCTATTTCTCCGTTAACGGCCGCAGCCCTTAGGGTTCAAACCTGGTACCTCAAGGGAGCAAGACAAGCAATGCAACCACTACATCAGTCAAGGTTGAGTGTTAGGACTAGGAATGTTTGATATATTTGGATATTGTTATGGATAAGTGAAATTAAATTTAGAATATAATATAAATTATATTAAATTAAATTATTAAATATAAAGTTATGATAATTGAAATATAACAAACTAAATTATATAAAATTAAACAAAAAAATAATTTAAATAACTTANCTCCAAGGTTGCCGCCGCACACCGGTCACCGGTCGGTCTGCAGAGGTTCAGAGGATTACCGCCGGCTGCCGCTTGAGAAAATGAGAGTTGGGGTTAGAGTTAGCTTAGCAAGGGGAAAAAGGACTGTCTCTGTGTTGTGATTTCTGATTTGTGAATTGTGAACTTGTGATGTAAAAAAAAACTTAAGAAAAAAATTAAATTGCTATTGTGTAAAGTGCAGCGTAAAGTGCTATTGTGTATTTGTAGGGTAATTGTAATTTGTGATTTTGGTACCTATTCATTATTTATGGCGAAAATACAACCTGACCTTTCCGTTTTTGCAAATTTGGTACGTAGTATTGACGTCAGTTTGCATGACTTTACGTTTTGGGCTCGTTTGAACTCGGAATTGAGTTTTGTTTTTTTCTACGGGTCGCCAACGAACCCTCTATTAAATGATTCTTATATGAACAAATTATTCTTGAAATACTATTCTCCCAAAGCTTATGACCAGCACACCAAAGACGTGCTTCGCGCGACTTCGCGTTTTGGGCCCGTTCGAGCTCGTCCAAACATGGAATTGAGTTCCGCCTTTTTCTACATGTCGCCAACGAACCCTTCTACTCAACCATGGTTACCCGTTCAATTTTCGGGCCAAATTTATTTCTCACGGGGCTTCCAACCTGCACACTAAGAACAAGAAGAAAAACAAAAAAAAACACACGACACAATAAACTACAAAAATGAATAAAACCCAACGAAAAGTTCTGAAATGGGGAAAAAATAGTGACAAAACAATAGGAAAAAACGTAAAAACATTGAACAAACACTTGCCAAAACTCCATCACTACTAGTTTTTAATTTCTTGTCAATTCAAACGTTAAGCTTTTTGGAGAATTTGAACTAGTAGTGATGGAGTTTTTGCAAGTGTTTATTCTATTTATTTACATTTTTTTCTTATTTTTATTCACTATTTTTTCCCGTTTTAAGACTTTTCGTTGGGTTTTATTCATTTTTGTAGTTTATTGTGTCCTGTGTTTTTTTGTTTTTCTTCTTGTTTTTAGTGTGCAGGTTGGAAGCCCCGTGAGGAATAAATTTAGCCCGAAAATTGACCGGAAACCATGGTTGAGTAGAAGGGTTCGGTGGCGACATGTAGAAAAAAGCGGAACTCAATTCCATGTTTGGACGAGCTCGAACGGGCCCAAAACGCGAAGTCGCGCGAAGCATGTCTTTGGTGTGCTGATCATAAGCTTTGGGAGAATAGTATTTCAAGAATAATTTGGTTATACAAGCATCATTGAATAGAAGGGTTCGTTGGCGTCGCGTAGAAAAAAAGGGAACACAATTCTGAGTTCGAACGAGAGCAAACGAGCCCGAAACGTAAAGTCATGCAAACCGACGTCAATACTAGGTACCAAATTCGCAAAAACGTAAAGGTCAGGTTGTATTTTCGCAATAAATAAAGAATAGATACCAAAATCACAATTATCCCATAGTACAGGTACTAAAATAACAATTACCCATTTTTAAATTAGAGGGGAGAACGCGCAGATTTAATACAGGGGGTTTGGTGCATTAAACCTCTTCATATAATCTCTCTCTTACTTTACATCAAATCAACTTTAATAATTTTATCTTAAATATTATTTTAATACAAACTCAAAATTTCACTAACAACTAACTATACCACTTTTTTTCTAAATTAATAAGCTAACTAAAAAAACTCACTTTTGAGTGAATTTATTCTTTTACAAACAAAGCCTTACCCTCCCCACAACTCAATTCGATATTTTTTTTATTAAATTACGAAATTAACACTTTAATTTTCTCAACATACGATTATCTTTTACAAAATAAAAAATAAACATAAAAGGCGTTTTTAATTCAGTTTTCTAAAAACTGAATTCATTAATTTCCCTTCAAATAATGATAGGTGGCCAAAATTATTGGTGATTGTGTAAATCTTCCACCTAAATTTCTCCGAAGTTTTATTTCTCTTCCGCAATCTCAAAACAGTGCAAAAGAAGAACAAAAACCACTAAAATTCATCTAATAGAGGCTCAAAGAGGCAGACATTGGAGGCACCTAAGAAATTACCTGAAGCAGACTCTAAGGGTGATGACGATTGTGTTTCTGATCCAAATATAGACCCTAAAAATAAGAAAAGGAAAATTGTGAAAAAAAAAAAAAAAGTAAAGGCAAGATGGTTGAATCTCCAATTTTATCGACAATAGTAGATCCCAATTTTATCGTTCATGAAAACGAAGAAGACTAATCAGTTGGCGTTTAGGCGGACTTCTCTATTAATGACAGTGAATCATTCGATATACCGAAATTTGAAATCATATTTTTTTAAAAAAAAAATAATGAATTGGACTTCGACATATTGGTACTATGTTTTTTATGATTTTAGAATAGGTTTTGTTTGTGCACTGTCAGGTTGAAATATTCATGTTTTGTTTTGGTTTTTCATTTCAATGTTGTTAACTTGTCACTTTAAAATGCATATGTTTATTTTTTAATTGTTTCTTGTTTAATTTATGTTTAGTTTTTAGATTATAAAGCACGACGTGTGTTGTAAGTATTACTCATTTGATATACAATAGTTGTACATATTATATACAATCTCATATTTTTTTAGATACAATAAATGACGCGTGAATCACAGTTAACAAAGTATTTACTTAACACAATATTATACAAATAGGTCTTGGTACGGGATATCATAATGGGTCAACCGAACCAATGGAACCAAGCAGCTAGACCAGATTAACAAGACAAGGCAACTCGAGCCGCAACCAAAGATCGACCTGAAGGCAATAACTAGACCGACGATGACCTCCCCAAAGGAGGAGTCAACCACAAGACAAGCTCGCACCGAGCTTAACCTGAGGACCACGGGGTCGAATCGACCTCATGAGCAGTAGATGAGCTGGGGAAGAAGATATTTTACCTGACGACGTGGACCTGGTTTCACGGCAAGACAAAAAAACATAAAACTGGGGAACTACGCCATAGGAAGATTGGACTACGTGTCGCAATAGGATTGGGTCGCCTGCACACCCGACAAGCCTGACAGTCTGAGACACTGCAGGTTGTACGGACGGGTAGCTTGGGTAGCCGAGTAAACCCTCCAGGTAGAAGAGAGTAAGACACCACACCCCTGTTGGGATCTGTGAGAATCTCGTTATGTACAAACCACGAATTCAATAGCAAATGTAAACCTATGCACAGCGGATCTAAATGTTTGACGTAGAGAACTTACGGCTTAAAATTTTATGGCGATCTGGCTGATCTTCAGGATGACTGGGAAGAGCTCACAAACGGAACTGGATCACACGAACGGAATCGGGTCGTCTCGTGTTGTGCATCGCGATCGGTCGTGTCGAGCTGGAGCTAGCCAGGTTGCGTCTCCTCGGCGATTGGTCCGGCGGTCATGTGGCTCGTCTGCGGCGGCGAGTCGGGCTCACGGCATCGGACGTCGGTTCGAGTTGGCAGTCCTCGGCTTCGGGTCTGTAGACATTGTAATTTTAATATTTTATTAATTATTGTCTTTATTTGTTTTGGGACATAAATCCAAGATAAATAAGATATTTAACTTATAAAATAAATATTTCTTGCCCACCAAGTCAAATCTTAGGATAAGGAAGGAGATTATATCAAATCTTAGGATAAGGAAAGAGATTATATCAAATCAAGAATGACCAATCAAATTGATGTCTTCTTTTCCAAGACTCTCTCATACACCTATAAATAGGGTTCTCCTCAATGCCACAAATCACACCTGAAATACCTCAAAAAAATCCAACACCTCATAATTAATCAAAGTCTAAATTCAAAGAGCTCTCAATGTTGTACAAAAGTTTTATGTTTTTCATAACATTTATTGTTACAAATTTGGCACGCCCAGTGGGACATCTCTATCTCTCATTTGTTCTCTTCAACCAAGTTCGAGGATCTTTGAATATGCATGAAGATCTCTTTGAAGATGATGTACAAGGGGGCAACTAAGAACGTTGTCTCCTCAAATCATAAAGCCGTCGAAAATCGTCGATGTCCTCAGATTCATGCAAATGGAGGAAACAAAAGTAGTCTTCCATATTCTTCTCAAATTCCATGGGGGCAATTTACATGAAGAGCTCCATCAAATCCTCAAATTCAAATGCTCCTTGATATGAGTCTAAACTATCTACATATTCAAATGCTCCTTGATATGAGCCTAAACTATCTACATATTCAAATGCTCCTTGACAAGAGTCTAAACTATCTACATATTCAAATGTTCCTTGATATGAGCCTAAACTATCTATATGGCTCCTTGACACAAGCATAAAATG